GTCAAAACAAATAACTAAACTAAACTAAACTAAAACAAGTTAAGCAATTCCTGATGTATTTCCTGCTTACATAAAAGCCACGCCAGATTTCATGCTGATCCTGATTTATAAATATTTACATTGCAGTCAGTTGCTGGTTATTATTAGCTAAATAAACTCAAATCTTCCTGAATTCATAGTAGCTCATGCAAACTGTAATTTTTGAGCTTTTCACCACTAACCGTWAGACTGTAAGTCCTGTCGACCTTTATTTATCCAAACTAAGGTCGTTCAAAAAGCTAACAACAGCAGATGAGGTGTTAATTGTTCTATCAAAACCCTGTAATATTCTTCTTGCGCTGCGCAGAAACAAGCTAAAAAATACGTWTGTTGCTATAGTTATAACTTTTTTCTCAAAACTCTGATTTTATTCTCAGAAATCTGACTTATTTTTCTGAAAAAAGTTCTAAGAATTCCGGAATTAAAATTAAAATTCTGAGAGAGAAAAAAAGTAAGAACTGGACACTTTTAAAATTTTTGCCCTAATTCTCTTCTGTATTAAACAGTTCCAACRTAGCCTTTTTTATTTCTCAGAAATCTAAAACTCTAAGAATTCAACAGTCTTTTCTCCAACTGTGTTCATGAACTTTGAGGATGCAAAGCTAAACGGCACGTCAGTTGTAAAAACATTACAGTAACACCCCAGAGACAAACTGAATTATACCAATACAGATCAGACACACAACATGGATCTTCTCTGCAGAGCCATTAAAACAGGACAGAGGGAGCCATGAAAACTAAAAGAAAAAGATATTATGTGGAGAATCCAATGAATGTGTGAACAAAGCCGGGGGGTTGTCTGTCTTTCTGAGTCGATCAGATTGATGTGTCAGCTTTGATGGATAAGCATATGGAAGGAAAAAGACATCTCAAACCTGAGGACACAATCAGGCAAACATGAAAGATGGCAGGAAAAACTCTTTCAATTCCACTCTTATCAGAAGTGACAAAAATAAAAGTCTTAGAATTCATTAAATGAATATTGTATGTTTCCTTATTAACATTTGTAAAATTTATTGAGTTATATCCATTTTTGTGTTGGCTACGGTTGATTAGCTTTGGCGCCTGTATTTAATTGAACTTTTCCAAAAGTTCTTTAGCTATTGATTTATTCCTTTCTAAGAGTTTCAATAACAATCCTGAAATATTTGCTAACAAACAGGACAAATTCYACAATTAATAAACTGTACACTCAGAGTATCTGTTGAGCTCCAAATAAATTTTAAGGAATTATTTGTAAAACAGTTTAAAGGTCTTTTGCCTTTGGGCAGAAACATAGCCTCTAGTGCTCACTTTTTATTATAACTGCATGTGAGCGCCTTGCTTAACTATAATTTGCTATAAAAACTTTGGAAAGCTGAAATTCTAAAGTGATAAAAAAAAATTAAAATCAGCTGGCACCATTCATGCCTTCTATAGAAAGCTGTGTATGGTCTGGTGCAGTGGCGTCACTAGGCCTGTTTTAGTGGGGCTGGAGC